AAAACATGAGACAGAAGTAAAGTCTGGAAGAAGATGCTTGGGCCTGCTTGCATCCAGACCTTTGAGTGAGCATTTCTTCAGGGAACAGCGGGATCGATAACTGAAGCATAACCGGAAGGACCTCAGCGTGCGGTCTGCGGGCCGGAGCGTCAGCATCAGGTAAAGGCCGATTCGGAACCGGGGGCACCTGCACTGGGCCCAGAGGCTGGCACTTCTCCGTATTTTGCCTCTTGCAGCGCTCCCACCCTGCAGCTGCCTCCTGGCTGCTGGGTCTTCAGGTGTCTCTGGGCCTCTTTGGCGGAGTAGGTGTGGGGAGGGGCTAGGTTACAGGTCAGCCCCGGGTGCTGGGGTGGGACTCCCCAGGGCTGGGGAGCCGTGGGGAGGAGAGTGAGGCAGGTCTCTGGGCAGCTGGCTGGGCTCAGAAGAGTCACTGGGCTGGCTTGGGTGCTCCAGGTTCCACGTTCCAGAAGGCTGGTGGGCAGAAGCCAGATGTCTACGGGCCAAGCAGGCCCCCTGCCCCCTGTCAGGCTGCCCCAGGTCAAGGGCCCTGAATACTCCACACCCCTGACCAAGGGCAGGAGGGGCTGGGGCCTGGAGCGGGGCGGGGGGGGGGCGTGTTTCAGGGAGCAAGTACCACAGCGGTGGGGAGGCAGGCAGTGAGGGGCAGGGCGGAGCTGTCCTCCATTAACTGACCCTAGCCCAATCAGGGTCAGCGGAAGCAGTGACATCACCACCGGAGTAAAACCCCAGGGCTCGGTGGTGAGTGGGACAGAGCCCATGCTGGCATGGAAGAGGCTCTGTTGTTTATTGCATCGGACTGGGCTCCCTGGTGGTCCTTGAGGATTACGAAGTCTGGGCGTAACAGCAGGGAGGACGGAGAGGCAAGAGGGAGGACGGGGAGGCAGGCAGGCAGGGAGGACGGGGAGGCAGGCAGGCAGGGAGGACGGGGAGGCAGGCAGGCAGGGAGGATGGGGAGGCAGGCAGGGAGGATGAGGAGGCAGGCAGGGAGGACAGGAGGCAGGCAGGGAGGACAGGAGGCAGGCAGGGAGGATGGGGAGGCAGGCAGGGAGGACGGGAGGCAGGCAGGGAGGATGTGGAGGCAGGCAGGGAGGACAGGAGGCAGGCAGGGAGGATGGGGAGGCAGGCAGGGAGGATGGGGAGGCAGGCAGGGAGGACAGGAGGCAGGCAGGGAGGATGGGGAGGCAGGCAGGGAGGATGGGGAGGCAGGCAGGAGGGAGGGCGGGGAGGCAGGCAGTGCCCACGTGGACATGGTGTGGGCTCACTTTCTTCCTGAGGCCAGAGGGGTGAGCGGTTCCTGCTCCCCAGGCTCCCTGAGGCCCAGCCTGCACCCAGCGCACACCAGCCACCCTGGCACCGCAGGTGCACCGCTCCTGTAGTCCGGAGGCCCAGGGTGCGGCAGAGAGGCGCTTTGCCGATGGCGCTGCCGCTGCCGCTGCGTGGCTGAAGCGGAGCTTCTGAGCTGCCTTGCTCTGGCGGAGCCTCCGATGTGACCCAGGCTCAGCTCCCACCTCCCTGCCTCACACGGTGTGTGCCCGCCAGCGGGGCACAAGCGCAGAGGCTTAAGGCAGCGCCTTCCCCGTCGCACACGCGGCCAGTCTCACATGACGAGGGAGACAGCGCAACAGAGGGCACAGCTCAGAAATGGGCCCCAGGAGACCCACATTTAGTACATGATGGGAGTAGAAATCCAAATCAGAGGGGGAAAGACGGATTATTTCTTTTTTAAAAATATATATATATATTTTATCAATTTTTTAACAGAGAGGGAGAGAGATAGTTAGAAACATGCATCAGCTGCCTCCTGCACACCCCCCACTGGGGATGTGCCCACAACCAAAGTGCATGCCTTTGACTGGAATCGAACCCGGGGCCCTTCAGTCCACAGGCCAAGGCTTTATCCACTGAGCCAAACCGGCTAGGGCAAGATGGGTTATTTCATAAAAGGAATTGAACAACTTGCTGGCTATTGGAGGGGATTAGGGGGGAGAGGGAGATCAAAATCTCAGTAAAATTTAAATCATACAAGTACCAAGCCTAGAAAGCACGAGAGATATATTTTTTTAAAAACTAAGCCCGGCCCAGGTGGCTGAGTGGTGTCCGTGCACCGAAAGGTTGCTGGTCCCCCTCTGTCAGGGCACAGGCTCAGGTTGCGGGTGTGGGCTTGGTCCCTGGTAGGGGGCATACAGGAGGCATCGATGCTTCTCTCTCTCCTTCTCTCTTTCTCTCTCTATAAAAATCTATTTAAAAATTTTTCTCCCCACCCCTCCCTTTTACTCTCAAAAAAAAAAAAAAAAAAAAAAAAAAAAACAGTGGAAAAAATATCCTTGACTGAGGATTGAAAAAACAAACAAAAAAACAACTTGGGTCTGGGGTCAGAGTGCCAGGCTTGAATCCAGGCTCTGCCTCTTACGAGCTGTGTGACTTTAATTAAGCAAACGATTTCACCTTCTCTCCCGGCTTCCTCACCTGTGAAGTGCCTTTCAGGGCGCTGAGACATTTAAGTTGTACCCTGTTTCCCGAAAATAAGACAGTGTCTTATATTAATTTCTACTCCCAAAGATGTGCTAGGTCTTATTTTATTTTCAGGGGATGTCTTATTTTTCCATGAAGAAGAATACGGTACACACTTATTGTTAAATGAAAATAGAGGAAATTTATTACCTGTATAAGGTACGGTAGTACGGTAGTTGTCAACACAAACCAGACAAACTGTGAATCCTACAGTATCAAGAATTTACTCATTTATTCAATGACAACCATGTCATCATCTTCTGGAACATCATCATCACAGTCCAATTCCTGAATTTCCTGGTGAATTTCTTGTGACGCCATTTCTTTCAGAATCAGTGGACCAAATCTCTCATGTTTAGCCTAGTGGGGGGCCTTATTTTCGGGGGGATGGCTTATATTTCACTCAGAAGGAAACCTGTAAGTAGGTCTTATTTTCAGAGGATGTCTTATTTTCGGGGAAACACGGTAGTTTTGCATAGTTGTTAGCAAGGTGCCTGGAACTTGCTAAGAGCGCCACAAATCTTAGCTACGCATTAGACGACCAGTTTACCCAGAGAAACCAGGTCAGCCTCCGGTCAGATCCTTCCTCTCCAACCGCTTCTCCGGGCCCCGCTGGCTCCGCACCCATCACCTAGCAGCTCTTCGAGCGCCAGCCGGGTGCTCTGCCCTGGGGGAGGAGACAGACCCACTGACCTGCCCTGTGCCCCTCTGCCCCTGGGGGAGAAGCTTGCCCTGTGTCCTCCCCCGTCCTGTGTGGGAGGAGCCGGGCTCACGGGTCACCCCTGATTAGCAGAGGTTAGAGCCACAGGACTATGCTTCCCCCTGAGGTCCTGGCTTGGGGACAGAAAAACATCTCATTGTGTCAATGTTTGAGGTATTTCACAAAGTGTCCCTGAGGGGGCTGGGCCGTGCAGATAACGGTTTGTGGCTAAGATAGCCATGAATGTGTTACTTAAGAGGGAGATGGCTGTGTGGCCTGAGCCGGAGAGGTGACCTCTGGGCCTGTCCCTGTTTCCGCGCGGGGCCTGGCAGGGGCAGACGGATTCAGAGACCACAGGCAGGCTTTTGCCCTCTGGGAGCGCCCAGGCCTGTGCTTGTACATGAACAGCCTCTGGCAGAGATAAGGCACCAGAGCGAGGGGCAGGCCGGGCCCTCTTACTTGTCCTGGGACTGGCTTCAGAACCGGCAGCTCTGGCCAGTGCCCGGCCCTGCGGCACCCGTGTGCGGGTTTCCTGGGACGTGTTTCCAGTTGTTAAGCGCCCGCTAGGGGTGTTACATGCTGTTCTATACACTGTGCACAGTTCATCCCCTCCACAAGCCTGAGACAGGCAGGCACTGCCCATTGTACAGAGGAGGAAACTGAGCCACACGGGCGGTCAGTGACTTGATGCTGGCACACGGCAGAGCTGGGATTTCAGTCCAGGCAGTCCGGGTCCAGAGCCTGACCTTACCCCTCCCCCCCCCCCCCCCACGGCTTCTGTGTTTGATGAACAAACAACGTCGTCCAGGGTCCATGCAAACGTTGCTTGTTTAGTCACAGCATCTCGCAAAACTAAGTGCTCATAACCCCATTTTGTAGCTGAAGAAACTGAGGCTTAGGAAGAGGATGTGAACTGACCAGGACCACACAGCTTGTAAATGGACTGGGATTCAGCCCCAGTTCCATTTGGCTGCAAACTCTTGCTCTGGCCATTATCCCACAAGGCCCCATCCACCACCTTGACCCTTGCCCTATACATGACCTGCCAGTCAGCAGGTGTCAGACAAGCTGGGAGGCCCATGACCAATTCACGGCCCCTTCCAACTGTGGGCTGCATATGGTGAACTGAACCAAGTATATTAAAGAGGCCATTCCTGGACTCAGAATGCCCCGGGCCAGCCTCCCGTGTTTACATAAACGGCCGGGCTCAGAGCCCAGTCCGTGTGGCCAAAGGCCCCTGCCTGGAACAGTGTGGCCATGATGGAACAGACCTGGCGAGGATCATCAGGGCCCTGGGGCCGTGGGAATGGGGATGGTGCCTGACAGTCATTCCTCCCCTCCCCCTAACACACACACACACACACACACACACACACACACACACACACACACAGGAAGAAGTGTGAGTCCCTTTACCCAGCTCAGACCCCCACTCCCCAATCCCTGAGCTCTCGGGGAGGCGATGGGGGCCAGGGGCCAAGGCACTAGCGTGGCCGCATCACCCGGAGCCCGCCGCGATCCCAAGGAGCTCGATCACAACCCACAGCTGCTCGGGGCGCGCACGTGGTGCCCGAACGCGCACTCACAGCCCACGCGGGCCCGCCCCGCCCACCAGAGGGCACGCCCCCAAAATAGCCCCGCCCACCCCAGGCCTCGCTCCCGCCCGAGGCCACGCCCCCAGCTTCACCCGCCCCCAGAGGCCACGCCCCCACGCCCTCCCGTTTCCGGCGGCGGCGTCGGGGCGGTCGGAGTCCGGGGCGTCGGGTGGATGCGGCCGGCGCAACTCATGAAGGTGTTCGTCACCCGCAGGATCCCCCCCGAGGGCCGGGCACTGCTCGCCGGGGCCGCAGAGTAAGAGCCCCCCGCTCCCGGCCCCCGGCCCCCACCCCCTCCCCGGGGCGCGGGCCGGGAGGGGCTGCGGCACCCGGGCTCCCCGCTCCCGGGCTCGGCGCCCCGCACGCCGGGTGACTCCCGCCTCCAGGAGCTCCTCTGGGGGCGCCGGGGCTGCGCTGGGCGGGCTGGGGCGGCCCCCTGAGCCCTCGTTATTTGGGGGGAGAACCGGGCGGTCCAGGGGCGCCGGAGAGCCGGGCTTTCCCACCCCCGCGCGGCCGGACGGTCTTGGCGTTTTGGGGAGGCTCGGGGCACCTTCCTGGGCCCAGCCTTCTCCGGGCCGCGGTGGCGCCGGGACCTGCGCCTCCCGCACCTGCCAGCGGAGCGGGGAGAGGGGGAGGGCTGGCCGGAGCCCAGGTGATGCAGGACCAGGCGATTAATCCCTTACCTTCCAAGGTCACTTGGCAAAGTCCGGAACCGATCCGGCCTTTCGGACAGCTGGCAGGGCCTTTGGGGACTCTTCTTAAATGGAACCGCGCCTGCCAGCCTTGCCAAGCGCTTGTACATATAAACTCTTTAATCCTCGTAACACTCTGAGGTGGTAATTCCCACTTTACAGATGAGAAAACCGAGCCTTGCATGTGGCAGGGCTGGGATTTGAGCTCAGCTCTGACTGCAGTGGGCACACTGCATGGTACAGGCCTGCACCGCCTGCCCCACGGAGGAGACGGTGGGACCCAGCCGCAGGAACCAGAGCCAGGGGGCATGTTGTTTGTCCATGTTAGTTCAGTGCAGCCGGCGTTTTGCCGGCGTTTTGCCGAGGCTCACTGTGCCGCCCGCGCTGAGGAGGGGGAGGCAGGAGCAGCAGGGATGGCGGTGCGCGTGGAAGGGAGGGTGAAAGTGGCCTGTGGCCTGTGGCCGGGTGCAGACAGCCAGGTGCTGCCGCAAGGTGTCCTGGGAGGTGCCAGCAGCCATGCCAGGTAGATGCCCCATGCGTGTTGGCTGCAGTGAATTAAGTGGCCAGCCTGAGGGGCTGGGCAGCACCATGGGAAGCATGCCCAAAGCCCATAAGGGCACCATCCATGTTGCATGGCTTTGGTCATGTCCTGCTGGGCAAAATCCAGGTATGCGTTTCCCATATCATGGTCTCACAGGACAGGACATGTACCCGGACATGGACTCCAATCCCATCTGATGCAGGAATCTCCCCCTCCCCGCCCCCGCCCCCATACACACACACACACACACACACACACACACACACACACACACATACTCACACTGGCCTTGCCAACACTGGCCGCCTGGGCCAGGGAGCTCTACCTGTGCGGCCTCCTCTGAGGGCGGAAAAGCTCTTCCTTGTGTTGAGCTGAAAGCTGTCCCTCTGACTTTTTCTTTTTAAATATCTTTCTTGATGTCAGAGAGGGAGGGAGAGAGAAAGGTAGAAACATCAATGATGAGAGAGAATCATTAATCACCTGCCTCCTGCACACCCCCTACTGAGTTTTTAATTTTATTTTATATTTTATTGATTTTTTACAGAGTGGAAGGGAGAGAGATAGTTAGAAATGTCGATGAGAGAGAAACATGAACCAGCTGCCTCTTGCACACCCCCTACTGGGGATGTGCCCGCAATCAACGTACATGCCCTTGACCGGAATCGAACCTGGGACCTTTCAGTCCGCAGACCGACGCTCTGCCGCTGAGCTAAACCGGTTTCGGCCCCCTACTGAGTTTTAAGCCTGCAAAGTGGGCATGTGTCCTGGCCAGGAGTTGAACTGTGACCTCCCGTTTCATAGATCAGTGCTCAACCACTGAGCCACACCAGCCGGGCCCCAGGACTTTCTTCTTTCAGGTTAGGTTCTCATCAGTCCTCTGCTCTGTGACAGCCCCTCCCCCTTCAGGACAGTTCTGTAATGGCCCGTACATGACCCCGAATCCCCTCGGCCAGTGTCAGGCAGCCTGAGGCCAGAGCTAGCAGAAGGCACCGCTTGCTGCTCGGAGAGGGGGCTGCAGGTGTGTGGCCGGGGCCTTGGGGAGCCCGGGGGTATCCGAGGGGCGCCCCTGCTTCTGAGTGTCCTTTCCTTCGCCCTCAGCTGTGAGGTGGAGCAGTGGGATTCAGATGAGCCCATCCCCAGGAAGGAGCTGGAGCGAGGCGTGGCCGGCGCCCACGGCCTGCTGTGCCTCCTCACGGAGCAGGTGGACAGAACGCTCCTGGACGCCGCAGGTGGGTGCCCGGGACGGGGCTGGGGGGCCCCAGGCCCGTGCGCAGCGGCCTCTGCGCTCTGAGGACGCTGGCGCAGTGCTGGCCGGAGGGAGCGGTGTGTGCAGTTCCTCAGGCACACGCATCGCTCCTCTCTCCGCCTGTGAACCCGGAGGGAGACCGAGGAAGGCAGGCCGTGTGCGGAGGCACCAGGCTGTGGAGAGCATTACCAGGCCCAGGCCTTCGTCCAGCCCTGCCACAGCCTTGCTTCATGACCTCCAGCAAGGCCCTGCCCCTCTGGACCCCTCTGGAACATGCAGGAGGGTTGACTCCCGTGAGGAAAGATAAAAATGATGCTTTTCCTGCCCAACAGGAGCCAATCTCAAAGTCATCAGCACCATGTCTGTGGGCGTCGACCACTTGGCTTTGGATGAAATCAAGAAGCGGTAAGTGCCCCTTGGGTTCTGGAAGGGGCCTGGGAGGTGGAGGGTGACTACAGACAGCGAGAAGAGGAGCTGAGTGCTTTTATTTCATATTCCTAACCACCCAGTGATACTCTGAGGAGCTGCTGATGCAATCTGTCTGTATGAGCACAGGCCAGTTAAAATGAGCCCAAGAAACGGGGTAACTCTGACCAAGGAGCGCCCTTTTACCTTCATTATCTTTTTTGACCTCTGTAATAACCCCCCGATGTAGAAAGGTTAAGTGTTACTTGCCCAGACTTTGGACCCTGATCTCCCATCTCCACATCCTTCCCGCAGTGGGAGAGAATTAGAATGGAATAACGGGGTGATGACCATTCCTGCGTGCTCATCTGCAGCTCTGGGCTCCCCATCGTAGGAGCTGGCGAGGGTGCTGGAGGCCAGTGTTACCGCCAGGTGCTTGATTTGTAGTGGGATCCGCGTGGGCTACACCCCAGATGTCCTGACAGACGCCACCGCCGAGCTCGCCGTCTCCCTGCTGCTCACCACCTGTCGCCGGCTGCCGGAGGCCATCGCGGAAGTGAAGAAGTGAGTTCTGCTCAGCTCCTGAGCCCCCAGGGACCCCCTGGCCCAGATGTGATCCCTGTCCCCAGATGCGCCCCATCTAGTGAAGGGGGTGGACTAACGCACCAGCCAGAGCTGAAATACACAGGGCATGAGGCAGGTTGTGAGAGAAGAGGATAAGGGAGGCGAGGAGTGAGGGGAGGAGTGTGGATCAGGGAAGGCTTCCCGGAGGAAGAGGCAGTGTACAGAGAGCAGGCCATGCCTCTTCACAGTCCGAAATGCAAAAGCTCTGAAAACTGAGGCTTGTCCCATAAGTCTCTTGGCAGCAACACTTGACTGGAGCTAACAGGCTGCTCGTGGCTTTACTGCCTCCTAGTTGTTGTGCATGTGCCTGTTTTGCTGCGGATAGACAGTGTGCTGCCCACGGAGGTGGGCCTGTGAAACGTAGCGTATGCACCAGGCTACCTTGCTGAAACCTGGAAAGTTCTGACATCTGGCCTGAGGGGTTCAGGTCAGGGGTTCGGGTTTGAGTATCGGAGGGGAAGGCATCCAGGTGCAGGGACCGGCCTGAGCAAATGTCGGCCCCGGAGAATGGAACGGGAGGGAGCGTGGCTCCGGGAGGGATGAGATGGGGCATATCAGCCCTGGACCGCGCCCTGCGGCTGATCAGGCGCCGTGCTGACCACGCCACTCGCTCTTCTGTCTAGGGAGTCCGTGTCTGCAGTGCAGGTGACACAAGACAGACACCGTACCCCTGTCCACCCGGGGCAGTGGGCTGGGCCTGTGGCTTTGTGTTTGATTGGTCCCCTGGGGTGCTGAGAAAACTATTTTTGGAGTCCCAGATGCTGAGTTGGCGACCTGCTGCTCCCAACTCTGCCCTGGCTGTGTGACCTCAGGCAGGCCACCCTTCCTGGTCTCAGTTTCTCCATCTGCTAAATTGGATGAGAACTTCTAAGGCCCTCCCAGCCCTCGGAGAGTCACTCCGGCTGCTTGTCCAGTGCCGAGCGGCTGTGGGTGCAGCTTGTGCCACTCTCAGTCCTTTGACCTGGAGGGCAGGCCTATGCCTTGGAGCACAGCCCCGCCCAGGGCTGCTGGCTCTGTGAGTTTGCAGTGGCTCTCACTCTTCCCCCCTCCCTCTCTCCCTCCCTCCCGCAGTGGTGGCTGGACGGCGTGGAAGCCGCTGTGGATGTGTGGCTACGGCCTCACGCAGAGCACCGTCGGCATCATCGGGCTGGGGCGCATAGGTGAGGCCCGCCTGCCCTCCGGCACCAGAGCTCTGGGTGCTGACAGCCCTCCCCTGGAAAGGGTGGCCATCGCTGCGTGACGTTCGTGCGCTTTGCATGCAGTGGGGATATCTCTGATGAGAAGGCGCAGCTTCCTAAAACACAGGCAAAAACAAACTAAAAGAAACCCGGGACTTCCTTAAGAACGTGCTGGGTGATAGAAGCAGGCTGTAGGGGCCAGGGTTCTTCATCTCCGTACAGAGCAGATGTGAGCTGCTGGCCGGGGTGGGGCCGTAGGAGGGGTTTTCTGTGGGGGAGCCCGTGCTCCCCACAGCCTGAGTTCTGACGCATAAGCCCTGCGATTCTGCAGCTGGCAGAGCCGTCTTTCCTCCATCGGCCCCATTTGGAGAAGCCTGGCGGGAAGGCTTACATTTAGCCAGGCAGCTGCCAGTGGTTCTCTGGCACCGACTTGGTACAGAGATGAGGGAGGGAAAGTGGGTAATCTGGCCTGCTGGTAGCCTGCCTCTTACGCTAGAGCTGCTTGGAGGAACCCACCAGCTTTGGGGCACATGCCGAGTCTGAACATTCGACTTGTCTCCGAGCAGCATGTGTGCAAGGTCTGCCAGCTTGGGGCAGGCTGGCAGGCTGGCACGGCCACTGCAGCCAGCTGAGGGCTGGGGCTTCATTCACAGAGGCAGAGGGTCCAGAGGATGGAAGGGGTGCCAGGTCCACTTCTCAGGGAAGGTTAACAGATGGACGTCCAGGTGCTGGACACCCTGTGAGGGCAGCATACATCACAGAGGAGCTGTGGTGCTCCCTCCAGACCTGAAGGGCTATTACACGGACCCCTCAGGGTAGTGGGGGCTGGCTGGAGGCTGGTAACAGAGGCAGGACCAGTTAATGGGACTGTGCTAATGAAAGGACCTGCTCCTGCCCCCAGGGGCTTCCTGTCCCTGGAGCTGCTGGGTGCTGCCCCTGCCCTCAGCTGGGTGGGGGAGAGCATGGAGGGGGTGGGGAAGCGGTTGGCGACTAGCTGTGATTCTGACTCCTTGTCTCAGGCCAGGCCATTGCTCGGCGACTGAAGCCATTTGGTGTCCAGAGATTTCTGTACTCAGGGCGCCAGCCCAGGCCCCAGGAAGCAGCAGAGTTCCAGGCAGAGTTTGGTGAGTCAAGCGTTGATTTGCACAGGAGCCCGTCCGTGCTCAGTGAGAGGGTTTCCCTGTTCTGTAGTGGCAACATCGGCAGGACATAGGCCTCCAGGTGTGTCCGGGCCTGCAGTCCCTCAGGGGTTCTCTGCCTCTGGATGCAGCCCACTCAGGGAGCACAGAGACGTGTCCAGACCAGCAGGGAGTCTCTGGTCACACTGCACAGGGGATGGGCAGAGCAGCAGGGGTGATCGCAGAGGTAAGGAGCTGCTGGGAGATTCCTCTCAGTCTCCTTACACTGCTGAGCATTACTGGCCCCGACCCAGCCTGTGTCCACAGGGTGCCCAGCATGGGGCAGAGAGAGCAGGCTGAATTTCAGCCACTCCTCACCCCCGTGGCACATAGGACCCCACTGTCGGTGAAAGACAAAGAGGCTCAGATCCCCCTGGGTTACCCTGGACAAGCCTCTGCCCCTTTCTGACCTCAGTGTCCCCATCTGTTGGGCCAGGGAGCTGGGTGAATGATGTAAGACCTCAGGGTCCCATGAGTGGCTGCTGACTGTACAGTTAGGAGTCGTGCAGGCAGAGGCAAGGCCTTCAGGAAGCATCTTGGGAGTTTCCATCATGGGGCGGAGGGCCGAGACCTGGCCTCCTACCATCTTGGTCTCCATAACCTCTGATGGAGCTCTGCCCTCCCCAGTGCCCACCTCCTATCTGGCTGCTGAGTCCGATTTCATCGTTGTGTCCTGCTCCTTAACGCCTGCAACCAAGGGTCTCTGCAACAAGGACTTCTTCCAGCGGATGAAGAACACAGCTGTGCTTGTCAACATCAGCAGGTATCCTGGCCTTGCATGCTGCTCATGGGCAGGCCTAGAGGGGCTCCCTGCCGCTGTGAGCGGAGGTTTTCTCCCCGTGGGTTGAGGAGACCTCAGGCTGAGCTTGCCTCTCTCCATAAACCAAGCAGCCAACTCAGAAATACAGTCAAGGCCACAACTCAGTACCCAGGCCAAGAGGAAGGTCCACGAGAGCAGGGCCTGGCTGGTTCCCGCAGTGCCCCCGTCCTGCTCAGGGCCAGCCACGTCGCAGCGTTGGTTTAGGGAGTGAAGACATCATGGTATCGAGCTCCCAAGTACCCTGGGGCAGCCCCTGTTCCTCTGACCCACAGAGGGTTGGGCTTGATTGAACAGCCCTTTGGAGGCTGACCTCCCGTTGCACTGAGCCTGGCTCTGTGTGAGTCAGTGACCCTGGAAACGCCATGCTTCTGGGGAGACAGACCCTAAATTCAGACCCTAAACTCAAGTTGTCTTGGTTCCTCAAAATGTCCCAGGTACTTCAGGCCACTGGGCACGGAATAGGGGCAGACCTTCTCTCTCTGCCTCCCCAAACCCTTCCTCGCTAGTGCCCTTTGAACCTGCTTCAGTCAGTCTGGAAGCAAACAAAGGTGAGGGAAGGGGTTGGATGAGGTCACCCCCAGGGCTAATGTTTAGCTACAAAGGTGTGATCTGGAGGTGAAGTGAACACAGGGCTCCCATCTGCTGAGCCCCACAGGGACCAGGGCTGTGGGCTGCTGTTACTATTGCACACGTGTTACTTAGTGCACAGTATATGTCTCTGGCGTATTAGTTCTTCGTGGTTCAGTCGCAGGAAGGAAGGTTGCTCCCTGGGATGGGTGTGCTTAGGTGGATCCAGTCTGCCTGGTTAGTCAGGTGTCTGATGGCAGACCACAGTGGGTGGTCGGGGGAGCGACCAGATCAGAACACCTGGGCGGGGCCCTGCCATGCAGTAGTGATGTCAGTGAGCTGTGGCCCTCCAGCCTCCTGGGGTGAGGTTCCCTGTGTTGTAGAGGATGGACGGGAGACACGGAGAACTTGAGACACTCGCACAGAAAGTGCGGAGCTGGGTTCTCTGATGGCAAGACCTTTATCACTACTACAGGCCAACTGTGAGGATATAAGACTTCCTGCGTCAGAAGTCAGCGCCAGGTGCCAGGTCGGTGGGAAAGTTCATTCCACGGGTGGTTCTGCCGTAAAGGCAGCCGCAGGGCAGGGAACTGTGGGGCACTCACATCACCGCTGTGTTCCAGGGGAGACGTGGTGAACCAGGACGACCTGTACCAGGCCTTGGCCAGTGGCCAGATTGCAGCTGCTGGACTGGATGTGACGACCCCGGAACCACTGCCTACGAACCACCCTCTGCTGACCCTGAAGAACTGTGGTAAGAACTGCATCTTCCGGTGGTCACCCACCGCCTCGCAGGACCCCAGTGGCTAGAGGGTCTGGAGTGCTGTGTGTGAGCTGCCTGCGCTGTGCGAACACAGAGGGACACACCCAGGAACCATAAATTATGCCAGGAGTGGCACTGGTCCCTAATAACATAGGGGAGGGGCCTCCTGAGCCTGCTCACCTATTGTGTCCCTAAAGGAATGAGTGGAGGGAGGGAGAGTGGCTTTGACTGGGTGTCTTTTATCCGTAGCTAGTCGTGGGTAAAACCCTTTGCTGTAAATTGCTGTTATCCATTTAAGTCTAAGTCACAAGTAAACATAGAATACCAGCATCTGTAACCCGTGCCAGGGATTAAGTCCTTGGGTGCTGTGTGCTTTGAGGTGCAGGGTGGATGCTGCAGGCAGCCTGGCAGGCTGGAAAGCAGGCCTGGGCTCCCTCCTGCCTTCCCGGCTGAGTGGCCTGCAGCTATGCATCTTCACCAGCAGCAGCCGGTCCTTATCGTGGCTGGGGCGTCTGGTTTGCAGTTTCCCAACGTGGTGCCCCTCAGACAAGCCACGGCCAGTCAGTGCCCCAGAGGTCCGAGTTGCAGCTCCACAGACGCCCTTCCTTCAGTTTTCTGTTAACCCCACCCTTCTCCTCCGTCCCCCTATACTAGAAAGGCAGTGCTTCCGGCTCAGTCTCTATGATGCCTAAGGGAACCTCAGGCTGTTCGGTTCCTCAGTCACTTGGGGGGACTAATCAAACTGGGCTGGACCCCCAAGGGTTTCTGCTTCAATGGGTCTAGCATGCTCCTCGCCAAAGCTGCTGAGCCTGGGACCACACTTTGAGAACTGCTGCCTTAGTGTTCTCTTTATAGCCTCCTGCTAACTTTATACCGAGTTAGCAGTGCTTTATATTAAATTCTCTCTGTTCTGGTGTGGTTTGTTTTCGCTGTGAGTGGTAAGAGTCTATGGTTGTCTGACCAGTCCCTGCCCTTTGTTTATATTCTGGAATGGAAACCCAAAGAGAAGGTCCTTAGCTGCCTTCCCCTCAATGAATGCTCCCATTATTGTAGCCCTTGGAAACTTGACTGTTCCTACCCCCACGCCAGCCAGAAAGGAGCATTGGCCTGTGCCCACAGCCGGGAGAACTGTCCCCATCCCCCAAGGCCTGGGCGGTCAGCTCAGCGCTCACACTTTGAGAACTACTTTCAAAAGGCTCTTTGGGAACAAGTGACCTCACTTGCTCTGCTGTGCTGTCCAGTGTTTCACTTCGTCTTCATTTCTGTAGATCAGAGGCCCCGTGGCTTCACTTTCAGGGGCGCAGGAATGGATAAGCAGTTAAATTGGCATCAATCACTATTTAGTAATGGAAGGGCTGGCTTCTACATAAGCTCCAAGACCTTGTTAGGCTGTGTTCTTATGTTTAGGATACACACCCCTCATCATCCTTGCGTCTGGGTGTAACTTGGATTTGTTATTCTTACTTTCTCAGCCGCGGAATGCTGAGTGACAGGAGGGAAGGCAAATCAAGGAATATGAGGCAGCTCTTTATTCTCCTTATTGGCAAGCCATGACCTGAAAGAAGGGCCCGCTGTAAGGCTCTTGAACCCTCTTAACTCGTCTGCCTCTCCTTTCCAGTGATCCTGCCCCACATTGGCAGTGCCACCCATGGAACCCGAAACACCATGTCCTTGTTGGCAGCCAACAACTTGCTGGCTGGCCTGAGAGGGGAGCCGATGCCCAGTGAACTCAAACTGTAGCCAGACAGGAAGGACCGAGGGCCAGGCAGACATGCCCGGGATGCTGTCAGCTGTGCCAGGATTGATTTGGACCCACAGGACGGGAGCCATGGAGAAGTCCGATCTGTGCTGATGCTGCAGAGGGAAGGCTGTGTTGCCACTTTTGTGGTTGGAAACATCTGTGCCAAAAGCGTGTAACCGTATTAAATAATTCTCTGAGAGACTGTGTTGGGTTGTAACTGGGAGGAGCCAATGACAAGAGCATCTGCTTTACCTTTTCTAAACCAGGGCATCTAGTGACCTGCGAGTTCAGCTTCCACCTCAGTCCTTACCCCCTAGAACCTGTCCAAACCACCTTACCCTCGTCCTCTGCTCAGATTCCTTCATGGTCCTCACTGAGGTCGGACAACCAGAGCCCGTGGATGACCTAGACCAAATTAAATCTCAGCAAAGAGAACTGGGGAAATACCTGGAAGTAGGTGAGTGGGGTTTTTTTTGTTGTTGTTGGAATTCAGTTCTTTATAGAATTACCCTGTAAAAACAAAAACAATAAAAACAAACCAAAAAGAAGGGGCAGGGCAAATATTTTTTAAAAAGGAGAAAGGAAGGAACAGGGAAAAAAGGCAGAGCACTTATTCATTCTTCAAACTTTGTCTTGAATTTCTGTGCATTTTTGGCATTGGGGAAGTGGGTAGCCAGTTGCTTTAACTTGGGCACCTGTCAGCAAAGGTGCAGGGTGCATCAGAGCTATGCACGGTCACTGCCGGCACTTGGCTTCAGCTCCATCATTGGCATGATACAGTGGTTGGCGAATAATTTCAAGGCCTTGTCCCCCCTCATGAGGAGGCTGATGGTCCCTTTTCTTTCTTGAGCTTGACATAACCAGTGCCTTGTTCCTTCCATCCTGGGAGATCATTCTCTAAAGAGAAAACAGCTTTGCGTGCATTTTGAAAAGCTCCTCTTCGTCTTCCAGCATTTTAATTTCTTGCTCAGGAAGAGAACTGTAAGCTCAAACTGAGGGTGGTGGTTGGATTCGTCTGCATTCTCGGTGGAGGTATGGTCCTCATGGATGTCCTTGCGACCACCACGACGGCACTGTGGTGGCATGGCTGGCTCAGTCTTTGCTGGCTCCGGGGCCTCCACATCTCTTAATTTTTTTTTTTTTTAAATTAGTTTTAGCACCTCACACTTGGCTCCCTTCGTCTATCTTGTCCTCATCCCCACTCCCCCCAGGTGGAGGGGTGCTCTTTTCTAATCGCCGCCTCCGTCCTCCCAAAAGCCCCACTCCTGCTGAGGGAGGCAGGTTCCAGCCCTTCCCCACAGCCACGCCAAACCGGCCAGTTTTCAGTCTGGGAGGCAGGAAAGGGGGCAGCGGAAGCGTAAGAGTAAGCAATCAAACTGGGTGGGCCAAGAACAAAACCTCACACGGGCCCACAGCTCAAAGACAGAGAGTAGGCAAGGCAAAAGGGACTAAATTGAAGGGAATTACCAATAATAGTTATTGAAAGCATTAGATTATTTTCTAGAAGACTTGGTTTAAAAAAAAAAGTCATAGCAGCATTAGCAGATAAAGCATTACTGCTTCCCCTTTGTTTTAATCTTAACCTGAGCACAGAAAAAGAACACACATTTAGTTAGAGACATGAATGTGACAAAACTTTTATTTCAAAATCTCAAATTTTGACTAGCATAGCACCACTGACATGGGTGCCCTGAAAGAACTTTATGATTTGATCACCAGAAATTTTTATGCCAGGCTATGATTAAGGCTAACCAATCAAAATTCAGGTTAATTCAGGTAGAAACAATTATAGGACCCCTGGGACTGGCTTTCCAGGGAACCTCTGAATTAGCCTATAAGCACTACAGCTTGTGTGAGGACACTGGCCTGCAAGCTCGCTTCTCACATAGAAACGGACAAAGAGGTAGATGCAATTCCAGGTTCCACCTAGCAGAGGGAAGGTAGGGCTCCAGCCACTGGACTGGAGACAGGCCCAGAGCCAAGTCCGTGTAAGTCTGAGGTGAGGTGAGGGACAGCCTTCTGGCACCACCACCTCAGGAAGGAAGGGAAGGAGGGCTCCCACTGACCTTCCCGTGTCACTGGTTCTTCTCCCCAGGCCCAGGTGGGGTCTCTTGTCCATGCTTCCTGCCAAGGTTAATCTCCTAAGACACTGGTCCCCACTGTAGGATGGATGTAGAGCCGCCTCACATCAGGTCAGAACACAATAATTAGCCACACACACACTGAATTTCACAGGTGGTCTCAGTGGTCTCTTTCCCACATCTGCTGGAAAGGAAATCTTAGTCTCCCTTTCCTCCCTGGGAATCTGCTCACAGAGATGCCAAGCCCAACTCTGAATATTCTGAGTTTATCCAGACAGGAGTGTAACTGCACACACTAGATAAAGAGGAAAAAACACGCCAATTTTTGTATTAGGCTACCCATATTTATCTTTCTAAACACAAAAATTGAAGGATTTCTCTCAATTATACACAGTGGTTGATGTCTAAGAAAGCTGAATAAAAAATGAACTCATGTCCATACATGAATTAAACTACATGAGCTCTACAGACACGCAAACGTGTGCTGTTTCCCTGGAAGCACACAGCCAGGACTCAGCCTGACAAGGTGTCACCAGCTGCCCTGGTCGCACAGGGTGAGGAGACCACAAAGCTGGCTGGGGAAGGGAGGCAGTGAAAAGACCCAAATGTTTAACAGTCTCAGATGCTACTCGGTGACTTCTTTGTTCTGGGCTCTCTAACCCTCTTATAAAGTCTGGAAAATATTGGTGAACACTGCTATGTTTGGATTTCAAACATGCAGCATTGACCTGCAACAACCAAAGTTCACATTCTATAAAAAACTATAGTATATAACAGTAATAAATCCCATGGTTTTTGGTTATAACTGAAAACAGCAATCTAGGCCCTGGGAACGAAGCCATAGAAGGCGAGAATGAAAAAGCGAAGCGGAGAACAGGCGTGGCGTGTCATGGGTAAGGGTGTCGGGCTGCACTGGCCCTGAAGTCCGGGTGGAGCAAAGCGAAGAAGCGCCGTGCAAGATCCCAGGAACAGGACTCCACATCATCAGAACAAGACAAACACTAGCTCTTCTCTGACTTCCAAACGGGGAACTGTGACACGTATACAAGTTGGTTAAAATACTGCTAAAACAGCACACACGGGACAGTACCTTACTGGTCACTCCCTACAAGTACACACTCCATTTATAACCTTGTTTTTAAAACCAGGAAAAATTGTTAAAGTATCCAATAGTGATGTTTTCAAAAGTATATACACCCAACAGCCCAGAGAATGCTCGCTCTGGACCCAGTGTCAGCACCATCAAAGTGCAGTGTCTGTGACTGCAAGTCAGACAAAAATAAAAAATACAGTACTCTCTGAGGCCTAGGACTAGCTCAAAATAGGCTCTACAGCATTTGGGGCCAACAGGTGTGTCGTCCTCAAGGGCCTTTTAGACGGGCACAAAGTCGCCACTGGTTACACATAAGTGAGTTTTGCATCACTGTTCAGATATATAATATTCCCATCAGAGGGTACAGGAAATTTAAATGCTTCACAGAGTTTTACAAAAATTGCTAAAAAATTTTTTTTGCACTTCAATTTTTAATTTTTACATGTGCCATGTTTAACAACATCAATTAGAAACTACTTTCTGATGATACTTCTCAACCCTAAAGAGCTTGGTTTGAGGGCTGCGTCCCTCTGAAAGCGTGCCTTTCACTCAAACACAGCAGCACTAGTGCTACACATGTTAGTTCTCCTCGGAGCCACTGAAATTGGTAAGAGCCATGGGGCAGCCTGAAGCCTCAAACCCAAGGGTATTAGCTCTCAACCAAGAGATTTTAGTTTCCTACAACTGACATAGACATTATCCCAAGAGGTCAGGGTTAGAGCAAAGTGCTGGGAAGATTGCTGGTCTGCCAGCGCAGGCAGGTAGTCTTAGAGTGCTTATACAGGTGGCTGGACTGACTGAACCTCTTGCCACACTTCAGGCAGGCATAGGGCTTTTCACCTGTGTGAACACGGATGTGCTTCTTACAATCTGTCAAGGTCAGAAAAGTCTTGCAGCAGATTTTGCAGGCATACTTGCGAGCGCCCTCTACAACCAAGACGTTGTGCTCTGATAAGGCCTTCTTGCATTTGGACAGGACATCAGCAGAGGCCCTGGTCAGCTGTGGCGGGCAAGGCTGAGAAGGGTGCCCATTCTCAAATGAGGACGTGGGCCCATTCATCATTAGCTGAGAGCTGGCAGAGTTTTCTGGGATCTGTGAGCTCCTGACAGAAGTTACAATTGGCATCTTGGGAGCGATACGGCGGTAATATGGAAAGTTACTGGCCTTTCCTCTTGAGGAGCCCATCATCACCCTGGAGAAGGAGGAGTGGAGGCCCAAACCAGACCTGGAAAAATCCATTCCAAACTGTTCTCCTTGATAGCCGGAACTCTGCACACAGGGCAGGCCCATGGCTTCCTGCATAGGCCTAGCAAAGTGAGAGTCTGCAGGCTCACTGAATGGGTTTTCCACATGAGAGCCAGTGGCTGAAGAGGGCCCGCCCACAGGCCCAGTCTCTGGACCCAACAAATAAGGGCCCTCACACTCCAGCCTGCAGTCACTAGTGGTGTTTGGGATATTATCATCATTGCTCTGATTTGCACTAAAGTTACTTCCTCTGCTCTTGTTAAGAAAATTTGAAATGCTAAAAGTGGATTTATGATCTAAATTATTTGTGACTTCTAAAATATGGATGTCACCTACCCTGTCAGTGCTAGACTGGGGATCTGAAAAACTCCGATCACTGCTTTCCGGGCTGAGGTCTATCTTCTCAGCATTGACCACAACTCCTTCCACTTCCACAGATTCGCTGCCTTCTGCTTGTGAGGTCACGTCGCTTACTTCATCCTGAGGCTCAGGAGAGCTCAAGGGCTCTGATTTCACCACCACTCTCATGTGCTCCTTCTCACCAAGGCCAACCTCAGGATTTTCACACTGAAAGTCACCTTTCTCAGCTGCAGCTTCCTGCTCAAAACTAGTCTCAACCTGAGTTGCACGAGAGGCCACGGACAGCTGTGCCATGTTGCCAGCACTGTTGTCAGACTGGCTGGGCACCTGGGCATCTTCTTGAGCCCCGAAAGACTGGTCGAACATGATGGTACTGTCTTCCTGGTTGTCGGCCTTAGCGTTATCCACAATTTTCAGAGAATCTGGCAAGAAGAACTCTTCTCGAGCATGAACCCCCGAAGACCCGTTCTCTGGCGTAACATTGGAAATGGCAGACTCATCCATGGCCGGTCGGAGGCGCTGCCTGGCCCGTTCCTCTGCAGACTGCTTACGCTTATGGAGGCGCCTCATGGGAAAGGGCGTGCGCTGGTCCAGGTTGTTGCGCATGGAGGAGCTCATGGGGGCTGGCTGCTCCTCGCTGCTCTGGTTGGGATTGAGGGCTGAGCTCACTATGCTGAGTCCCAGCTGCTGCAGCATAAAGAAGCGCTGCATGCGGGCGCTCTGTTCCTGAACACGCTCGCTTGGGGGAGACATGGGCAGTGTCCTTGTCGTTAAGTAATGTTTACATGCCTTAACAACGGAGTTCAAATGCAGGTGAGAGGCTGCCAATAAGACATCCATAACATTGCTCTCCCCCAACATGAGGGTGGAGGTGTACATCATGTCAATCAGGGCGGCAAAGGCCTCCGCTGTCACTACCTCGCTATCCAGCTGGATCATGTTCATGGTCTGATCACCCTCTGCCACTGAGAACAGGGCTCGGAAATGCGTGCTGCAGGCTGCCAGGACAGAGCGGTGGGCTTTAAAATGCCTATTCCCTACTACAATGACACAATCACAGAGCTGGCCGTGAAGTCTTTGGTAGTTCAGTTGCTGGAAGATCTGTTCAAAGTGTCCAGGAAAATCCATGATCCTATGGGAAAACAAAGAAAGTGCTAAGACTTAGAAAAGCTTAAGACAAAGCCAGAGCACAGAGGGTGTGATGGAAGAGAGGCATGGATGGCCAAGCTTGGATCTTTAAAACTTTGTGATTTTTTTTTAATAATGGGCACAGACTAAAAACCCGTCAAACAAGGGGCAAATGCTGATTCAGATACAGCTCTGGAAGCATGTACACATGTAGGATCAGCTATGGCTGCTTACAGGCTCCCTTTACTCTTCATATGACCCACTTTTAATGTTTAATACTTAGGGCCCATGTTAGAAAAGGCCAACATGTGAATAATAGAATATCTACCCCACAGAAGTTAATTCGAGTTCTGCATTCCCTAAGGACAATGAATAAATTCCAGAGTCTTTAAGTAACTTAAGTGAAAGGGGTAATCAGTATTAGTGGGGAAGACTACTATTTATAGATAGTAGATTGCACACATATGCTTAACACTACTCTCCTGCCCCTGAAACACTCATTCCTGAGACCTCATTAAAATATACTAAAGTTTTTTGGTTTTTATTTATTTATCTATCTATTTATTTATTTATTTAATCCTCACCTGAGGATATTTTTTTCCATTCATTTTTTTAAAATACTTTTTTTTTCTTTTGTATATTTTATTGATCTTTTTACAGAGAGGAAGAGAGAGGGATAGAAAGCTAGAAACATCAATGAGAGAGAAACATCGATCAGCTGCCTCCTGCACAACCCCCACTGGGGATGTGCCCGCAACCAAGGTACATGCCTTTGACCGGAATCAAACCTGGAACCTTACAGTCCGCAGGCCGACGCTCTATCCACTGAGTCAAACCGGTTTTGGCTCCATCCATTTTTAGAGTGGAAGGGAGGGGAGAAGATCAATGTGAAAGAGACACATCAATAGGCTGCCTCCCACACAACCAGGAATCAAACCCAAGATGTTTTACCACTGATCTACACCAGCCAGGGTGGTTTTGTTATTATATTTTAAAGGAATAATCCCAGAAGGAAAAAAAAAATTGGAAATAAATATCAATAGCATTTTGGAAGCTGGTGAACAGGTAAATGAATGACTGCTAACTGACTTAACATACTCAGAAAGCTAAAATACTAAATTGGCAGTGGATAAAACACCCTGACTTATATATAAGATACCCACCCACCCAAAGGCTCAGGGGAAGTGGATTGGAGGTGATCCTCAGACAGGAGAATCGGATGGAAATCTATTCAATAAAACATAATCCAATGGAAGCTCTGTGCCTGTTGTACAAGAAAGGTGAATCTACAGAAACAGAGTTATTGGGGGCTGTACTCAGCAAACTACATATACTTTTGGCATAATTTGTTGTTAAAACCTAAAAAGAGGAGAGCCGAACAGACCATAACGACACACATACACAAAATTAGAAAAAGTTACCAAAGAATTATTCCCCATCTCCTGGAAAGACATCAGTACCAAATAGTTTTATAGGAAATATCTATTAAATGCTATGGAAAAGATAATTTCTACGTTATTTAACCACTTTAGGAGAGGAAGCTTCCAATGATCCAATATTCAAAGAAATAGTTACTATATCACATGTCGGGCAATGCAATTAAATGTAGTATATACTGACCAATATTTCTGAATATAAGGATGAGTTAGAGAAGGGCAATCTGTTGCTGTGAGTGCACTAATAGACATTTAAGAGAAGCTATTTAATATCCAGTAACACATGCATAACTCATTAAGGTAAAAGTGCAGCATGAGTTAAACCAAATGAGAAATGCAGCTGATGCACTAGCAGTTTTAAAGTATGTTTTCACCATCCCCAAATGCCATACCAAGAATGCATTGGAAATTGCAGGGCATTACTATGATGCCCAAAAGTGATTCCAAAGACCATGAATATGAAAAAGACTTAGATTTATAGCATCTTAGGTAAATTTTCCCAGAAGCGGACTATGAGGGAAGGATTCAAGTGCAAGTGATTTATCAATGAAGTGCTCCCAGGAGAAACTGGGAAAGGGGGGGAAGGAGCTTGAGAGGAAACAGCAGCAGCCAAGCAAGGATGCGATTTGGGGCAAAATTCCAGCTTTAGCCTGGTCTAGCAGGAGAGCTCTGGAGTATAAATAAGCCACCTCTAGGCAAAGGAACTAGTCTTTTGTAGCCCTGCATTAGTCAGTCAACAGCTAAGAGTCTCTCCAGGGAAACAGAACCTGCCAGGCTCCCTGGGCCCATGCACAAAGTGATGCCTGTCACCCAAAGACCTAGTCCTCAAGAGTCACAGATGCAAGCCATTAGCAGCAAAAGCATACAGAAGCTGCACGGTGGGTGCACAGAACCGGTAAAAAGGATCATGGGGATCTGGTCAGAGCTATCACTCACACTATACTAAAGAATAAGTGACGCGCAACCATATAAACAAACAGATACTGTATGTTAGGAAAGGACATTTTTGTATATATACTTAATATGTTTTATTCCAATTCCCTAGTGCTATCCCAAAATTATTAAGTCAATGAGGTATCTCAATTCAGTTCTTTCATTCTAAAATGCCACTTTACATTAAGAGGTCCCACGGTAGTAAACATTAGTAAACACTGTTTTAACAAGTCATTAACAAAATAATATACCACAACATAATTCTTTTTAAAAAAATATATTTTGGTTTTTTACAGAGAGGAAGAGAGAGGGATAGAGTTAGAAACATCGATGAGAGAGAACCATCGATCAGCCGCCTCCTACACACCCCCTACTGGGGATGCACCCGCAACCAAGGTACATGCCCTTGACCAGAATCAAACCCGGGACCCTTCAGTCCACAGGCCGACGCTCTTTTATGTCTAGAAGAGTTATTTTAAAAATTCGGTTGGGGAGACACAAAAATTTGTTAGTCTGCTCAGATGGAAAGTAACTATAAATCTAGATTAAGAAAAACAAACAAACAAACAAACAAACAAACAAAAAAAAACCTTCTCAAAGCAACTCTAGCAAACTCAAGAGGTACAGCCCAAAAGCTGTAAAATAGCTCATGCTGAAAAGTTAAGTGTTTTACCTAAAGATGCCTGTCTGAAGTCTTCAAATCAAATTAAAAAGTTTCAGGTTTCTTTAACGATTTCAAAATGTGACTCTATGAGTCTATATAGCTGGAGGAGAAACAGCAACCATCAATTTGGAACTGTGTCTGACCCAAAGCATGTATACCCCACAATATTTACTAGTACAATATTTGTTATCTGCTATTTTTAGCAATTTCCAAACTAAATATAATTAAGAAAATATATTTATACCACTGTTCATTACATTAATATGGATAATCAAGAAGTGACTGTTTTCTCAATGGATTTACTTTCCTAATAATGCTTAGACTAATTTTTTTTTTTTAAAGTTCATTTGTGTTCTAGGAGAACAAGCCAGTTAATAGTACTTTTTAACTATTTGATTTATATACTGACCTACCCACATGCTTTTCAATAATATACTTAGTTCATAAAGAAAAATACACCCATACTCAAGCATCATCTACCACCACAGCAAGTGATTTGTTGCCTGTCTGCCCAGCAGGGCCTGCAAAGTTGCTATCTACAGGGAAGCATCTTAACATTTTAAGAAACTCTTAACATTCAATATCCCTAATCTAAATAAAATCCTAGCAGGAAAATAACAGAACTTTTCCTCCACTTGTAACGATGACATAGATATGGATAAACTAAGGCAATAAAACCAGGCACGTCCCAGTCAAGCAGTCTAGGACTTTTTAATAGCGCTCCAAGCTTAGAGTCCTAGAACAGTCATCCATTGTTCGGATTTGACTAAGTGGAAATAAGGAAAGGCTGGGACTAGATAGGCATACAGATGCCCAAGGTTAGCCCCAGATACCAGAGCTGTCAGCCTAATTTCATAATCTCTCTGGTTCTGCTCGGTCAGAAACTGGACAGATTAAGTCTATTAAAAAGGGAATCTGGCCGGGACCGGTTTGGCTCAGTGGATAGAGCATCGGCCTAGGGACTGAAAGGTCCCGGGTTCGATTCCGGTCAAGGGCATGTACCTTGGTTGCGGGTGCATCCCCAGTAGGGGGTGTGCAAGAGGCAGCTGATCGATGATTCTCTCTCATCGATGTTTCTAACTCTCTATCCCTCTCTCTTCCTCTCTGTGAAAAATCAATAAAATATATTAAAAAATAAATAAATAAATAAAAAATTTAAAAAAAGGGAATCTGGGCCTGGCTGGCATGGCTCAGTGGTTGAGCATCGACCTATAAACCAAGAGGTCACGGTTTGATTCCGGTCGGGACACATGGCTTGATCCCCAGTGGGGGGTGTGCAGGAGGCAACTGATTAATGATTCTCTCTCAGCATTGATGATTCTCTCTCTCTCTCTCTCTCTCTGAAGAGAATCCATAAGTGAGTAAAGGTGAGCACCACTGGGGAAGTCAAGCCAATGCCAGAAGCCCTTACTATCTCGCTCTACGTTCCAAGTCTCCCCAATTTGCCCCCTTGTTTTCCAGTTCAACATTCCTGTGGATTAGCTGACCTAGAACTTCACCAAATTACTCAATAGTCATTTTTCTAAGAGCCCCAACTCTCTTCAAAAACAAGAAAAAGTCTCAGAATATCCAAAGTAAATATCAAAACTACGTATGAAAGATTTCCTCATAGGAAAGTTTCCCAAGCTCTCTTTTGTTTTAAACAAACAAAATTCAAGTTTTTCTAGTTTCCTAACTGATTGAAGATGAGCAATAGCAAATCTAGAATATGAGGAAGAGCTGGCTGCAGGTTAACAGCTGCAAAAAGAGACAGCTGACCCACTAGAAGAGAAGAGGCCCAGCAACTTGGAGCCCTAGAGATTCCAACAGCCCGGGAACGTGCTGTGTATCTGGTATACAAATTCATTCATTCCAAGTTTTAAAGTGCTGTGGAACAGAGATTTATATGGCATAGTCTTTTTTTTTTTTTAATATATTTTTTTGATTTTTCACAGAGAGGAAGAGAGAGGGATAGAGAGTTAGAAACA